CCACTCTGAGCATGGACTCATCCTAGCGTGCGGTCCTGATGCTATGATAACACATGCCGTCAAGCCCGGACTGCAGAATATGGGATGGGATATAGAGAAGTCCCTAGTAGTGTTCTGAAAGGAAAAGGTTGTAACAAGTCGCCTGGACAGTGGATGATAGTAGTATGATAAACCACCTGCAAAGTGTTCGTTTATGAGGCGTGTATGCGAAACAAGAACAATCGTCGGTAAAGATATACAGTAAGAATGGTAGTGTTGAGTACTGAAACTCTAGGTAGTGAAAGGCTGCAAGTTGAAGGTGCGACAGAACCTGACACCGTTAAGACTTGACAGTCGGTAAGGAGGTTTCCAGAACCTATGCCAAGTAGTGTTGCCGCGGTTCCGGTTCATGCCCGGCTTTAGCCGTGAGCGGAGCTATAGTTAGCCAAACCGCGTACCTAGTTATAGCTTATGTAATCGATGGCTCGGTCTAGTCAACGAAACCATATTAATGGTCTTCAAGTCAGCTCGAGCCAGATTTTTAATACAACAACCCTCCGGGCACCCCTGGACCCGTTATTTTTCGAATCAGTGCGACAAACTTAAAAACGATTGTGATCCAAAATGTACGCCAACACATTCAACTTCATTTACCCTAAGTCAGGTCCAGGAACAAACTAAGCTCCCTTGTACTAATGATACAAGATGCGAGAGTCCTAAGCGATCACAATTGCAATCCATTGTTGACCTGAACAGCTTTAACATTCATATAGCTAGACTGTGTGTTATTAGTGCGGTGTCGTTTTGAAGGACTTGAGCTCACTTTTCCAAAGCATACTCGCTCAGGTCACGACCAATTCCAGACTGCATGAAGCCTCTAAATGGCATCGATATTTCAGCTTGGTTGGAGCAGTTTATCTGCCAGGCGTCATTACACAAAAGACGCGCAAGATGAGATAACAAAGCAACAAACCCATGCAGTACCTGCTTCAAAAGCATGTGCAATGCGGATTGCTCTGTCGATATCCTTGGTGAACACCAATGTGGCAAGTCTGTATGATGTATCATTAGCCTGTTCAACAACCTCTGAAAAGTTGTTAGGGATATGATGATCGTGCAACAAGAGCAATCTCACCATCTTCGGTCTTGAACTTTATGACGCACGTGACAGGATGAAAATTATTGGCTCGATAAAGTATCCCTCTCGACCAATCTGCTTGCTACCAAGGTGTACTGTAGCACCATCTTTCTGGCCGGAGGCTATGTATCCCATGATGCGCTTGACGGTCGTCAAAGTATGTTTCATAATGAGATTGAATAAACGAACCTCAAATTGAGTATTGGACACTTGTGGCCCTTGGTACGTGTCAGGTGAAAAAGGATCGCCAACCTTGATCGCACGTACTTGCTCTGTGAGACTGGTCCAAGAACTTGTCATATATGCTCTCTTGAACAAAGATACGAGGACCTGCAGAACAATTCTAACCGTGGTTAAAGCTACAAAAACGATGAGAACTAGCATAAGTCATGTGAATGAGGCAACATACTAGATACCATTGATAGCCCACTTGACTGCCTGCTCTCCATAATTTTATGTCCTGTCAGAGTACTGCCAGTGAACGCAACTTTCTTGATAAGAGGGTTCTCAGAGACAGCCAGTTGCAGATCTGAAGCAACAAGAGAGAGGAGGCGTAAGTGAGCGCAACGAAGCAATGGCAGAAGACGAGGACGCAGCCATAGCACAAGAGATAGTAACAAAAGACGAAAGCGATCAAACAGGAGGCGAAGAAATAAGGGAGCACGAGAAAATGTGAACATATTGAGACTCTCCAGCCTGGAGCCACAGAATGGACCGCAAGTGGGCCGGTAATGATCGTGAGACAGACAAAAAAATCCTCATACCTGTACCGGTCCAGGAATTAAGATAAAAATAAATTAGAGGATTTTGATTGATGGACTCCGAGAATGTTCGGGTAAGCATAACATCACGAAGGCAAAGCATTTTGAAAACAAGTCCAATGATGTTAGATGTGAGCTTCTTCGCGGTCTCAAGCTTGAGCTTGGATATCTCGACATGGGAGGAAAATGTAAGTGAAAAACAAACATCAACATGATAAAGAGTCCAAGACGATCACCTCAATTCAATCTACGATACTAAGAATCATTATCGAATAAACGAACGCAACTATCAACGTCAATCGTGAATCAACGATGGGTCCACAAGCCAAAGTACAGTGGCTCAAAAAAGTGTCCCAATGTTTGTAGCTTTTCATGTAATTGCTATATCATGTGTCAAGCCGTGGGAATGTGACTAAGCCATAGGGAGGTGTCGGAAAGGTCTGCTTCTCAGCTTCATTTCGGTTCCCTATACCGTGGGAAAATAACGACATTATGTGAAGATATGATCATTTTAATTTGATGACTCATTGGGACACTTTTTTGACTTTGAGTTTAACTAATGTAATCTCTATAATTCTAGTACTTTGTGTGACCTCCTTCTGCCCCAATCACTTCTGCCACTCTTCTAGACATATTCTCTATCAATTTTGGGTATTCCTCTTTGGTATTTTCATCATACTCTGTTGTAACACTGTCTCATAGTTGGAATAGCCCCTATGGTGAATCTTGATATGCTACAAGCAATTTCTTGAGTGATTCTCAGGGGTATTCAATATGGTTGATGTCTTGCATCTATGCTGAACATGATAGAATAGTAATATCATGGTCTGCAAGCTATTGGTGGCTGATTTAGAGGTATACTTAGGGTCATTGTCTTATCACAAAACAGTATTCTCTTCATTAACTCATAACTCCTGCATGCTTCTTAGCAGACACTCCTGTCAAATGAGTGTTTACTACTCTATATTCATCCTCCCCTTTACTTCATAGAAAATTCCTACTCCATTTTATCTCATATAGTTCTATACCATCGAGTTTTCGTCTTGAAACTTAAGTGTTTATTCAACTTTTCTTTATCTTAATGGTTGTGCTATCAATTTTAATACAAATTCCTTGCCATATGATCTCATCCTATTGATTTTAACCTTATATAACTAGATAAACCTCTTTCAGCTATTAGCAGTCCAATATTTGTACTTGAAAGTAGCATCTTGTCTTTTCTGTTTATAGGTTGGAGACAGAAGAATCTGTTTCTCTTGATTATAGCTTCAAAGTGGGACCTGAGACCCTGAAACCTGAGACTGCCGGGTCTCGGGGTTCGGGGGTCCGGAACTTGGAACTCGGTATGTGTAAACAAAATATATTTCAAACATGGGTAAGTCAATGTGTTTGTCAATAAACTCGATTGTAAATCAAAGTTTATTGATCTCCCCAAATTTCCCGAGTTACGAGTTCCGGGACCCCCGAATCCTGAATCCCGAGACCCGGCAGTCTCGGGTTTTGGGATTCGGGGGTTGGTACATCTCAGTTTGGGGTTCGGCACTGAAAATTTGACATATATATTTTTGTGAGTGTTTTGCTTCTGGTGTCCATGCTTATAAATAGGATATGTTGCACACCAGGGTTCAGGTGTGGGGTTTTTCCACTTCAGTCCTCAATTATTGGTCAATGCCACACATGGTTGATTCATGTTTTTGTGCTTAGGGGTTTAGATTTGGTGGTCGACGGTAGGTATATGCACTCATAGTGTACATGTATCCTATGTGTTTGATTCGCTGGTGGCTACATCAGCTGTATGTCTTGATGGAACATATCTAGGCTCACCCATATATGTACCCATCTATGTACAATTCCCCCACGTCAGCCCACCCATCTATGCATTATCCCCCACGTCAGCCCACCCGTCTATGTAATACATCCTATGTTGGCCCACCCGTCTATATAATACATCCTCCGTTGGCCCACCTGTCTATATAATTATACCCCACCTCGGCCCACCTGTCTATGTAATAAATATTTTATTGCACCCTCGGCCCACCCGTCTATTTGATATCGCTTTCGTCGGCCCACCCGTATATGTAATACTTTTCACGTCGGCCCACTTGTATATGTAATACACCCCACGTCAGCCCACCCATCTATGTAATATTCCCCTACCTCAGCCCACCCATATATGTAATACACCCCTGTTGGCCCACCTGTCTATATAACAATATTTGCCTTACATCTCTCTTCAGCCCAGCTGTCTATAATATCCTACTCTACATATTACCCAGATGGGCCCACCCATCTCCATGAATGATCATATTCCCCTGGCCCATCCGTCAACATCAAGGATATATATATCATTGGCATACATGGGCCCACCCGTCTCCATCGGAAATAATATGTGTCCCAGCCCATCCATCATCATCGAGAATATACACAACATGGGCCCATGATCCGCTGGCCCGTCTCATACGGGATATTATGGAGGTCAGGTGGCCTGTATAATACAGAATTTGTCACTGTAGGGGCTCCCGCCGTTACCGCAAGAAAGGAACAGGAGCACACTCCTCTGAATCTTGTTGAGAACAGCTCAATGATTCATCTTTGTTTGAGCTTTTCAAGGTCTTTCATTGATGACCGAAAGACTTACTGAGGATGTACTAAACGAGGGAAGCGGAGCCTTGGTTATAGCAACAACAAATTAATTGACTCCTGCTGCATCCCATCACAGGTGTGAACTCGGATGACTGGCACGATCTGTCTAACATACTCCAGGAGCCGTTCGGCTCACGACCATCTTAGAGCAAATTTCACCTTACGTTTTTTCTCTGGCTAATCAATCACCATTGTGTCTAACATTCTCATTACCATAAACTAAGTCATCCACATGCTATCATCCGATTCCTAGTCTATGTCCATGACATCTACCCACAAGGTGGATGGAACATAAGCAGGGTCCAGTGCCGTACATCGCTTGGAGTTTGTTGGCTGGCATTGGACCGATGCGGGACCGATTCGACGATGAACAGTTAAGACTGTGGTCAGTCGAGATGAGCCAGATACCATCTGCAGAAGTCATCATTCCTTAAATACCTTGGTGACATGAAGCTGTGGTATTAGTCTGAGGCCGTCTGTTAGCAACAGGACGAGATGGAACCCTGGGAGGGTGCCCGCAGTGGAGCCTCCGCCTCACCAGGTGGTTGTAGATTGAGCTCCGGGTCGGGTTGTCTAAAAGGTATCAATTAGTTTGATGATTATTTGAATGGAGGGAACTCACCCAAGCCTCCGTCTGAGGTGGCGCAGAAATATTTCATCTTGCATGACTTGATGGTCTTCTGTTTGATGTGCCTTCAGCTCAATCGTCTCAGGTTCAAGGAATATAACGCCTCTGCGAATATGTACGTCTTTCAAGAGGATCTAACAGCCGGACCGTGACTCTGTTAAAATGACACGCAAAGTGACTGACCAATGCGTACCTTGTACCCCAGCGGAGTCACACCAAGTTCAAGCTGTGGTATAGCACGATATTCCACAGCCTCGACAGTTGTGAAACCATCGCTTAACTCGAGATGCAGCATGTCTCTCGGATACGTTAAGACTGGGCCCTCGTCCTCTTCTGTGTCCTCTTCCAAATTCTCCTAACTTGAAGGCCAGCCAAGGCCAAGTCCACTTGATCCGTGCGATTTTGCCTCACATTCATCAAGCTAAATGCACTAATGCCAATGTCGCTAATTGTTAAGACCATGCACAAAGGGTAGGACTGATTCTGAGGGGCTTGGCTTCAGCTCATGCGCTGCGCCCCTTACCAGAGTATGTGCCCTTAATTTCAGATTGGTGTCCAAGGAAAGTCCGAAGACATCCGAAGGTGCGGGAAACTTCGGAAGGACTTTCCGGACGGGTACAAGTAACTTCCGGATGAGTGCGGGAAAGTTCCGGAGGAACTTCCGGAAATTACAATGGGGTTTCGTCCTAATACAGATACGTGTAATGGCTACTCAGGACTTGTCCTGAGTAGAAGCAAACAGAGGAAAGGCTGCAAGGACAAAGTCCGAAGCAGAATAGGTCCGGAGGACCGCTGGAAAGTTCCGGACGAACTTCTGGAACTTCAGATGAGTGGAGGAGCGGAGGAGCAGAGAAGCGGAGCTCTGGCCTAGGGAGAAACTCCCTAGGCCTGAGATGGATATCAACTAAGTTGGAAGACTAGAACTGATATGAGGACTTAGAGTGAAGACTAGTGCGAGGACTAATATGATATTCAGACTGAGGTACTACAAGACATATACACGAGTTTATATACTAAGAGAAATAACGGAAGGATCAATAAGCAGAGTCTGAGGCTATGTACAAAGCATATGCAAAGTTATCAAATGCGAGTCAGAAATGAACATAGGTTAATGGATCAGTAAGCATACCGGTAATAGATATAACCGAAACAGCGGAATAGAGGAAATACCGAATAGGCTGTGTATAACGCTATAAGAACAGGAAATGAATTAGGAAGCTTATCTATATCGGATTGGAAGCGGATTTATACATTGGATCGGTCCGGATCGGATATGGTCCGGATGAGATGCGTGGATATATAGGATGTGGCATTAGGGCGATGGGACAAGGATGGATGATGCAGGCTAGCTGCGAAGGATAAGGGATCTGGACGTGGACATGCGGATGTGGATGTGCAGAGGTGCAGGGATCCGGATGGGTACTGGAGATATGGATAGGACATCCGAAGGTCCGGATGAGGCGTGGGAATATTATTGGATGTAGATCCGGAATACGGGATATGACACTAATGGCACGAATTTCTAGGAGAACTTGGCCTGTAAGACGAGCACGTTTGATGATACAGATATTTTGTGGGAGGCCGGTGTTCGGCAGGGTGGAGTATGTAAGGTTGGACTGCAGAAATTGAGAAGTTACATGTGAACTAAACTGTGGAAAATGATCAGTTGGAGAAAGGGTGTATGAGGATGCGATCCATGAGCAACAGTCATGAAGCCAAACCTGTGGGTGAATACTAAATATCAAAAATGCAAACCATCGATTAGAATTTTACTTGATCTAAAGCTGGACATGGATACTGTTTGTTGACCCATTTGATGATGTTTGCAGGTGCAGCGGGTTCAGCCATCGACCGTTCGAAAGCTAAAATTTAAAGCTAAATGATAGTAGTCGTCACAACTCTTGAGATGATCATTACTTACATTGGTGATGCAGCGGTATGTCACAATTGTGACCAACTCCATTCTAGGTTTGTTGACAGTCCTTTCCGAAATCCAATTAAATCATTTTCGAGTTGTATACACCTCTGTACGCCTTCAAACACGTCATATCGCACAAGATTCTCACTCAGGCTCACTATGGTCTACCAGAGGATCAGTCTGGATCGAAAAGAATGAGCTCTGTACCTGCTTTTGGAGGAAGGATGAGAGATCGAGCACATCGCTGATGTTCGGCCCCAACAGCGTGATTGTCCTCGACAACTGTTTTACTTACAAGAGTGACGCTCTACAAGAAGCTGTAGAGGCATCTGGTTTGCTAATTGCTACTTTGCTTCGCTTGCAAGTCTGACACATTCGTAGGTTGCTTACTTATTTTTCTACCGCCATACTCCCCAGACTTCAATCTGATTGAGGAGAGCTTCAGTTGCTGTATGTTCGGACATGTTTCATTTTATTCTGTCACTCACACTTTCTCTATAGTGAAGAAGTGGCTTCGAAGGCATTGTAGGGAACTCCAACACAGCCAGTTCCCTGAGCAGGACCTTCATGAAGCTTGCATTAGGGCTGTGAATGCCGAAAATGCGCGAGGCTGGTATAGGCATAGTGGCTATCTGTAGTATAATAGATGTATCAATGATGTATCAACTGTGGAGGCCTTATAATAACATTTTAAATGAAAACAAAAATTCCAACACTGGTATATGTGATGCTAAGCTATCAGAATGATAATATATTGTCATATTCGTCTACTTCCTTGTCCTCATCCATGTCCTCACCAACCTCCATGTCCTTGTCATCTTGGACACTTGACTCTTTGTCATTGTCACACTCCTGCTCTTCATCTTCGCCACTATCATCTTCCTGCCTTCCTTCTTCACCACCCACACTGCGATGAGGTCGACTGTCGCTCTCCCACTCGTCATCATCATTCTCATGTTCTTCCGGTCCTGGATCATCCACGAGTTCCGCGTTAGCACAATCTCTTGTCAGTTGACACAGAGCAATAGGGTGCCCAATCCCATAGTGCATATAACACATAAACATGTCCTGGTCGACGAATCTGAGCGGTTAACAGTTAAAATGACACCAGTATACAAAGTGGTACTTACATGCCCACATAATAAGCTTCCCAGTTGTCCAATTCACCACATTGTTGTGCAAATGACCTTCTGTGGCAAAGAGAGGTGGTCCCGCGATGAGAAACAAATGCAGGAATTAGATGCGCACTTCTGATGACCTGGCCAGGATCAAGAAAGCCAAACACATCATGATCAGAATCTTCAACAAACACGACCTTTGGAAGTCGCGCGCGGCTCATCCCTGATTGGTGATCGATCAAGGGTGCCATCCATCTGACATAGAGAACCTCAATCTGGTGCGTTTTTTTTGGACCTTCAGTATTGAGCAAGACGTCCATGTGGTAAATGCCCAGAACACGGGCATACCAATATGGATGTCGGGGTCTTGTTTCCCCAGATAAGACCATGATGTCAGCGTGCGTCTGAGGATTGATCATGTCATACTCTTGTCTAAGGTTGTAGGTTGTGTAATGAACCTGTCAAATGAAGTGTCATACACCAGAAAAACTGATCATGTACATAGTATACCTGCATTGTGTGGACAGAGTAGAGCCTGTTATTTAATATTATAACCAAATTGCGCTCAGCATCTGTGAAAGTATGATCGCAATAGCTGACGTCTAAGTTTCGAAGACGATATAATATGTGGTCCTTGAGTTTAGGTATAAACACCTGCATGATATTGTGAATAAGGTAAACATCAGGAGAACGGCACCACCTACTGCTACAGCCGGATCATTATCATGATCTCGAAGAAATCTGAACAAATCCAGTGGATTGTTGCGGCAAAGTGTTGGAATATAATGATGATCCTTCAACCCTACAGGCGGGTCAACCGGCAGCCATTCCGTAGAGTGCAAATCATGTCCTGCCACTCATTGAAGGACTCAATGACAATGTTCATGCTTAGCAAGTTGAGCTGGTGTGTCGAGTTTGTTGATCAGCGGATAGAATGCTTTAAGGGCTCTATGAGCCAACTCTCCCTGGATAGGAATCAATTTGATATGTAAAGAAAAAAGTAGAGATCAACGTACAATTTGCGATGTAAAGGAGTCCGTGGTCCCGAAGAGTCGGATTGAGTGTAAGTAGTCCCCCATAGTGTGAAATTTATAAGTGTTCATGTTAAATTTCTTGCCCTTTCAGCGACCACTCTCAGGATTCACGTTGTCTGCACCTGAGCGTTCATGGGCGGCCTTATGCTCACGAGCATTTTTTTCTTTTGGTAATTCTAGTGTGATGAAGGTGACACACGTGAAATCTCAGAATTTCCGTAATTGACGGGTCAGTTTCTTGAACGTCTCATCTAAGACTGTTAAGGTGGTCTCGGAATGTAGCCTGAGTTTGGCGAGCACGTGCCATTGGGCAAACCTGTACAGAAGTGTCTGTATGAGCACATCATGGTCTTCTGGGAAAAGTCCTTCGAAGACCGGCATGGCACACTAAGAAAGATTTAGATAGCATGCGTCGATAACTGAACCAATAGAACATACTTGCAAAATGTCCTCGAAGTCTCGTGCTGCGAGCCGTTTCATTTCGGAGGTGTTGTTCGCAAATTTGCGAATAACCCCATGACTGTATGAAGAGATATGACGAAATCTAAATTAAATGCTGTCAGTTTGAGTGATGAGAACAATGTAGGACAAACCTATTGTCAAGGGTTGCGACTAGGTGGTCACCACCAGGAAGGGCATAGAGCAGACAGATGAGGTGTGTGAATAGAGCTTTCCATGTACCTAGTTCGCACTCGTGCATGAAATCTACAATGAGCATGCGAAATACATCGAATCCTAGGGGTCCTAATTTTTCTACAAATGTGTTCTGATTGAAAATACTTAGTATTCCTGAGGGGATTAATTTTGAAGATACTCACCACGGTCGGCACCCAGGATCCTTCGCCAAGAGTCGCCTGTACCTTTGAGCCATTGACAGTGTTTCCCCCATTATAGATGAAGTTGCGGGCCATAGTTACACTCTCTAGACAGTAGACTCGGACATTGGCGAGGCGATCTCACATGTCTCTAAACAAACCCAGGAGGTTGAATGAGGCCTTCATCAGGAGACACCGTGGACACGGGCAAGAGCCCATGTCTTTGATTGTAGCTATTAAAATCCTGAAACAAAGATTGGTATGTCAATGAAAAAAGAAGAAGAAAATTACTTTTCTGGATAATTGGCCGAGTAAGTGAAAATATGTGGAAATACCCTTCTATACACACCATCTGGGCACCGGAGCACAATTCCATGGCGGTAAGCATGAACGAATTCCGCATCCAGAAGGTGCTTCCAACATGTGTGAAACAAATTGCGTCGACAATGCGCATAAAGCACTGCCATGCCAGTTTTCGATATTCAATGTAAAGTGCTGAAGACATCTTTGACATTGTCCGGAAGCTAAAAATCCGACGTGAGAGTGACATAAAGCATGGGAGGCAATTCACATATGGAGGGGAAAAAACCAACAAGATGGCATGTGCCAGATTTAGGTGCTGAGCGTGCGTACTTTGTTAAATTTCCGAAGTATAAGTAAAGGGGCCACGCTTTGGCTGTTCCAAACGTCGCAAGATGTGTTGCATCCAAAAAGAACATAAGTCCGACAATAATACGCTCGAGTGGGCAGCCAGGTTCTCTTGGTTGCCTGTGTAAGTCATCCTGAGCGTTTAACCAGGAGTCTGAGGTGTAGAGTTCATTGAAGACGCGCTCTTGACGGTTGTCTAGAGGATTCTTCCACATGCACTGAAAAGGGAAGAAATGGTATGCACCGGCTTGAATATCAGCGAACACGGAACGAATCACAGCAACCAGCGGGCGATAATGAAAACCAGGGATGCTAAATGACCTGGATGAGTCCTCTTTCGACCTTGTAGGTATCTCAATCGTGATATCCGTCTCCTGCCAGTCACCCGGAAAGGTAATAGTCCCCTTTCCGCCATTATTATCTAGCGCGTGCAAACTCTTTCTTACCGAAAATCCATCCAGGTCCTTGATATTGAAGTCCTCCACCTGGATCACGTCTTTAACAAGACGCGATACCTCTGCCTCTGATTTTTGATGACTACCAGAATTCATCCACATCATAAGATGGTAGATGGTCATGTTGGGGAAGGGGTAGGGTGGTCCAGAGGCCCCATGTAATGGATCGTGTTCCTGAGTATCGTGCGCGTCTGCAATCGTTGGACAGGTTGTAGCTAATAGTGAAGATGGAATAAATTTGTCAGGCTCAAACAAGGGGCACCTGGGATACTTTCGACAGAGTCCAATCGTAGTGAACACGGTTTGAAGAGAGTCGTGCAACGTTAGAATAAGTCTTTGAATCCTGCGCTGTGGTGGATTCTGATTTTCTGGGAGAGCAGATGGGCAATTTCCAGAGGAATCAGAAAGGTTGATATCTTCGTCAATAGGTAGAACATCGCTGAAAGATCTTGGGATTAGACGCGCGCGCCGCGAGGGATGCTGACCCGAGTCTACTCGTAATTCATAAGATAGAGGTATGACAAAGTGTCACGATGGAGCACACCTGGAATATCACTATAGCCTTCAGTGGCATCCCCCATGGCAATATCCAAAGCACCCGAGTCTTCGGATGCAAAAGTCGAGGCACTCGCGCGAGCGGTCCTGGCTTGGTTGACAGGCTCAGGTGGCAGGCATCCTGTGGGTTTGCAATGGGCTATAGGCTTCGATGAACGAATATTCATAGATCAAATCGGTTCGAGCTAAGAATTGGAAGGTATGGGAATCAACTTGCAAGCTAGTAGTACATAGTAGATTGGCAACTTACAGGTGCGATGCAGTTCCTGCTAGCTGCATTGAGCTGTGTGGTCAAATTTCGTGATGTCGACTCTCTTGCATGGTCCCGCCTCTTTTCTGCGGCTAACTTGCTTACTTTCTGGTAATACTTGCACGTAGCACGATGCCTGTCGACTCCGCGAAAATCTGTGTCTTTGTTCCATGAGCAATGCAATGCACCACAGGACACCATTAGAAAGATGATGGCGAGCAGAATCCCGGGCGGATGAAGTAGGTGCATTCCAGTACTGTAGTAGGTGCTAAAAGGTTGAGCGCTCAGCACTCAGTGAGCCATAACGTACAATACCAATATCATCCTCATTTAGGTATTTCACCATATTTGTCCAAAAGCGCCAGACAAATGTTTAACATAAGTATATGAGTAGTCAATATAGATTGTCGTCATTATATTGCTACATAGCAGTACATTTGTAGTATGAGAGAAAAAGCTAGTTGTAAAGAGAACTGGGTGAGAACTTTTCTGCTAAAAATAAGATAAATACATTCGAGTGAGTGACAACTCGAGGAAGCAATAGCAGAATGGTTCAAGACTCCTGGCGGTTTGACACCCATCTAGATTGGTATTCTGGTAACACATATTTTGCCTTCTCGACTCTCTGTGCCCACAGATCTTCCTCGCACTTCAGAAGTGTCAACAATTGAGTGTACTGCTGCACACGGTTCTGTGCAGCAGCATAACTTGCATATACAGTGTCAAGGCTGAGCTGAATAAATAATAGATCCTGGTCATCGTCGTCATCGTCGATCCTGTCGAGCGCCATCTACATCAAACTACTCAGTGCTTGTGAATAAGGAAAATAAATATCTGCATACCATAAACGCCTGCACCTCATGTTTGCGGTCAGCATTTTGAATGCTTGCACAGTTGTTGGGGCCTTCACGAAGAGAGCCAGGAAGGTTACGAGAAAGTGGTAATGATGCGATTGATGATAAAGACATTATGGAAGTACAGACTTGAAATTAAATTGAATTGTGCATTGAAACGTTAAAATGAGATATTTTGGTCAGAGTAGTGCAGTATTTCAATTTGTCACAGCTCTCCTCTCCGAGCAGCCATAAACCGATGTGGTGTATTCCAGTTTGATCTTAGAACATCGGGCCTGTATCTATCGTGAGCAGCGACAATGTGTTATGATATATGGTCACTTTAGTCGAAAATTCAAACCATATGAGTTCACAAGGATGACTTGGATATATAAGGCAGGATATCCTAATTGGGGCGTGAGAGGTCTGGGTCGAGGCGAAGTCAATTTAAATCACTCACCCGGTTCAAAGAGTACTCAGCAAACATGACATTCAATTCTGACTCTGATTCCTGTAGCATGGATTCCCATTCCTCTGATTTCAATGATGGAGCTGAAGTCATCTTGATGGACGCTGACTTCAAGATTGAGGCTCCTGGAGGAGGCGAAGGGGACAGTCAATCAAGGAGCTCTACCCCGGAAAGTCACAAGGACTGCGGCGGCCCTGAATATTGTGCGTATGGACAAGGCTGCCATGCATATTCCTGTGGTTGCTATAATTATAGGGAGATGGAAAGGTACAAATACCTCAAACTCTCACCTCCAGACCTAGTAGAGCAGGTACGTCAGACGCGCAGGTCATGCGAGGCATTCTAATGAGTCTAATTCAGGTAGTAGAGTCTGGTAGCAGCAACATGGGAGATACCAATGTGTTAAGTCTGAAACAAAAGATACGTGACGAGAATGATGTAGTGCGTGCTCAGTTTTTTCATCAATCCTGTGAATGAGGTACTCACCACTGCACAGACTCTGCATAGCTCCTCCCGCGACATTACCGACATGCAGACAGGATCAGTGCCCGACATCAAACTTCCGCTATCGAAGTGCAGGAAGCTCGGCGAGCAATCCGAATCGTTCAAAGGGGGATTAGCTCAATCCCTGGTTGAGATCAGACAAGAAGTTGTGGTCTTGGGGGAAGCTCTGATTAAGGTCAAAAAAGGTCTTCGTAGGCACGGAGCCACTATCCTTGCGATCTGTGAAGTCTTAGCTACTGTCACTGATCAGGAGGGGGGTTGCGAGTGCTAAGCTCTGTGACACAATTCAATATACCTGCATGAGATTTTGCCTTTGCTATCCATTGACTTGTCATCTTTTCCGTGCTCTACTGCAATAGTAGATTATCGAAGGACTTCGAGAATGTGCTCCAGCGTGTTTGACCTGTGACAAAATATAGTTAGATGTGAAGTGATCCGTGCTGATGAATTGACATTCACATATTCATAGCAAGGCTTCCTTTGATAAACACCGCAGGATTCTCTGTCACGCTATTCGGCCCGATCCCATTGTTCAGGGTCTTCATGGTGTATGACCTTTAAGACAATATAGTTAGACATCAAGTGTACCATTGTCTTCTTAGATAGATGATCTATAGATAAACACCTATAAAACCAAATATCTCCACGGTCAGCGATTCAGACAAATACCAATGACTGATAATGTGGTCGTTCGTGGGTGGCTTGTCTTTGCTCCTAAGGTACAGTCAGGAATGTATAGCTCTGCACAACAGTCAGCAGTCAACAATCAACAGTCAACAGTCAATCCAACAGTATGGATATGAAGCACAATGATAACAGAAACAGAACCCGATTGGTCAGCGATCAACAACAACAACAACAACCAAACAACAGCAAAATTATCAAGAGACACAGTCACTCTAACAGTATAGAGATGACACAATACAAACAGACACTTCTCCTAACACTTCACACAGCAACAATGATTCGTACACAAACTTAGTGCAGCAAGTTGTGTGGAGTTACAATGATAATCCCCCTCAAGAACAAAACAGGTGAGACTACTGTCAGACCTAGTCAGAGCTACCATAGCACTCTTAGCCTAATATTGAACCTGCTGCCAAGGAACTCATAATGAGTATTCAAACAGACTCAGGAACGGGCGGCCTTGGACTTCAATACCAAGTCCCCTTTTCAATAGCTAAAGCCTAACTCGCAAATGACTACTTTGGCCCAGTATAACACGCAGATGTCTGAGGTCAGTGATTCACTGTCAACACCTAAAGTCTCCCCACAAGACTATCCTAAGTCTTCAGTGGACAAAAGAGACAACACCAAACTTCTGGGTAAGAATGAGACTGAAACTTTGATACTTGAGAGAAAGTTGATAGGAAGGAACAACAACACAATCAGACTGCTACAACAGAAACACCAACACAGTCACATTCACAGAGACTGTTAGCAACAACGATCACGACACACAGAGACAGCGATCAAAGGAGATGGTCAGCACACACAGTCACCAACACACCACACTCAAACTTGAGAGACACAGAGAGTGAAACAGAGAAACAGAGATGTTAGTTTCACAGTCACAAATCTCAGACACGTTTCCAGAGAGACAGAGAGAAAAACAATCTCAGAAACAATCTCAGAGAGACACAGACACAGAGAGATAGACAGACACAGAGACACAGAATAAAACAAAAAGAGAAAAAAAACAAAAGGAAAATAAAACTAGTCTTGCTAGTTGTCAGACACAGTGAGCTCAAGGTATGTGCTAGATGTTCAACACAGTGAGCTCAGATATGTTGTGCTGGTTGTTGAGCACGGTGAGCTCCAACCTTGAACCACACTTGCTGAATGCTGATTCACACTTCACTCACAATTTTATTCTGAGAGGGTAAAAGTGGCACTTGGGCATGCATTTATTGGGCAAGAAACAGCTCCTTATATAGACAAATTGGTGGCTATACTACTAGTTTCTCGTACTTAAAGTTGTAACTTTACTGTGATAGTACCAAGTCACACGATATCTTTGAGTCAAAAAGTAAATATTCATAACTCTCGTTGGTATAATGATGAGTCAGCAAGAGCTGTGTATAGCCCATGGGTCAGGTGTCTCTTGATGACTCAGCTAGACAAAGAGTGAGAAAGTGATTACATATTGTGTACATATGTTTGTGCAATCTGTGGCTGATGAATTGATTGGTAGCATAATGACATAAGATGCATATTTAAGGATTTGTAAGCTTTCCCACAGGGTAACCTTATGCAAACATATTTTTCATAGTCACCTGATATGTGTGAGAATCTTTCTGAGTCATCCTCATGGCTGACTAAGCAAAACTCATCACAAAAATAAATGTACAAAAATATTCAATCCACTCGCGTATAATCTCGTAAAATGAAAAAAAGCGAAAAATATTCCCTTAGCCTTAGTCTGACTTCAGATCACAGGAAAAATGATTTTATAGGGCATAGGGCTCATAGGAGAGTATTAGTCATCCATGCACCGAACCAGTTTGGTGCAGGTCACCGTGCTTATTGGTTGATGATTACATATCTTCGGCTAGGCTTCCACGGTCCTCATTCGCATTATTCGGTCTGAGTCCATCCCGGATCTGCTCTAGCATACTTGACCTTTCAGACAATAGAGTCAAATGTTAATTATACCATGCTGATTGGTTGAAATTTACATATTTGTAACACTGTCAGCCTCGATCGTATTCCTGTGTGTCCATGAGTATTATGGACAACTGAATCTAGCTTGCTACTTACTTGTTGATCAGAAGGTTGATGTTGATAGTTATGGGACTGGGCCATGATGATGCACTTGCGATGTTTTGGGCTGGAGGAGACACAGAAGAAAAGTAGAGAGGAAGAGATGGTGGAAATATATAAATGGGGCTCTGCACACGGATGCCAAAGTGTGGTTGGTTGCGCTGGCGCCCAAGGTGACAGAATCAAGTCCCTGAGATAGGTGTTTGAAAATTTCCTAGACGCTTGAATGTCTACAAGATGAGCACGAGCAATACAAGAGCTTAATTTTCGATCCAGGCAAAAATCCAGGCCAGGCCAAAGCCGCCAATGACGGCTGGCTTTGGCTCAGCTCTGGCCTGAGCTGTGGCCCGAGTACTGTAAATGTAAAATTGCAAGTATGGTTTGAGATATGAACTTGAAGTACTCACCTGTACAGTGGGAGCTGGCCGGATATGCGCAGATACATGCGGGGAGACACGGCAACAAGTACTGATATGCAAAAAAGGCCGGAAGCATTTGAAAATGAACACCAATGCACGAGAACGTCTGCGAATGTGTCCAAACTGAATGAGTGACAGAAGCATTTAGAAATAGATGCAAATGTGTGAGAAAGTCGCCAAATTTGTTGGAATGCGAATGAGAGTGTCGAGGGCAGGTGAGCTCGGAGTGATTCTCTTCATCGAGCGAATGTTGGATGAGGTGCAAGATGCCCCGCCCACCTTGCGGGCGGGGCATCAGTAGACCTGTAAACAGATGACATAGGTATTTAAAGCTATGCGCATTGTCCCTAGTACGCGCAAGACCAGTGACATCAAATTTAACAAGTGTGCAAAATTTGATGTAAGACTCATGTTTGGCCGTGGTCCCGATGGTGCTGCATGTGGTGTTTTTTATTTTGACATGTTGGATAGGTTCAGACAAGGAATAAGACCACATGCTATTCTAGATGAGGTCGAGGTAGTTGATCACATGTCATATCCCGTATTCCGGACCTACATCCAATAATATTCCCACGACTCATCCGGACCTTCGGATGTCCTATCCATGTCTCCAGTACCCATCCGGATCCCTGCACCTCTGCACATCCACATCCGCATGTCCACGTCCAGATCCCTTATCCTTCGCAGCTAGCCTGCATCATTAATCCTTGTTCCATTGCCCTAATGCCACATCCTATATATCCACGCATCTCATCCGGACCATATCCAATCCGGTCCAATCCGATGTATAGATCCGCTTCCGATCCGATATAGATAAGCTTCCTAATTCATTTCCTGTTCTTATAATGTTATACACAGCCTATTCGGTATTTCCTCTATTCCGCTGTGTCGGTTATACTTACTACCGGTATGCTTACTGATCTGTTAACCTATGCTTCATTTCCGACTCGCATTTGATAACTTTGCTTATGCTTCATACATAGCCTCGGACCTTTGCTTATTGATCTTTCCAATAGTCACTTAGTATATAAACTCTTGTATATGTCCTGTAGTTCCTCAGTCTGAATATCATATTAGTCCTTGCACTAGTTTTCACTCTAAGTCCTCATATCAAGCTGGGAAGTATACCTATACAAGATATATCATATATAGCAGCATTCTGAAAAAAGTAAACAAAAATTTAAAATGAAACAGAGCAGGTTCGAACTCAAGCATTCCACTTGGAACATTCTAAATTCACAACCAAGCTGTACCATTAAGCTATCAGTGCTTTTATATCTGATGTTGCTAATAGTATATAATCACCTATAGGTGATCTCCTCACAAATTTTGCTAAGTCTCGCAGCGCAAGCATCTTGATCAGTGTGACATCTACCATACACAAAGCAATTTAAGTTCTACATGATGCCATTTGCCTTCCATATGCTCAGGGAAATTGAACTTGGTGTATTTTGTGTAGGATACACATAGTGAATACTAGCAAGCTACCTTGACTTCATTAATGAAATTCTAGCTAGGATGTTCACACAAGCTTTTTTATAGGCATACCATAGGTCTGATGCTTAGACCTATGAACTTGCCCTGGATCGGACCGAATTTGAGCTGTAACCAATCAGTTGCACAGGTCGGGAAAAAACCTTTGGTAAAGATCTGATCTATTAGCTTTACAGCATAATTTATTTATTTATGTACCATGTCTATATTCAACCTTGTATTTGCCTGGTTTCCGGGTGTTGTAAATAGTTTTCTCACTATATTGCTACAGCCTAAAGCAGCCGCTGGTGGTGTACTGTTAAGACCATGCACAAAGGGTAGGACTGATTCTGAGGGGCTTGGCTTCAGCTCGTGCGCTGCGCCCCTTACCCGAGTATGTGCCCTTAATTTCAGATTGGTGTCCGAAGAAAGTCCGAAGACATCTGAAGGATGTCCGAAGGCGCGGGAAACTTCGGAAGGACCTTCCGGACGGCTACAAGTAACTTCCGGATGAGTGCGGGAAAGTTCCGGAGGAACTTCCGGAAATTACGATGAGGTTTCGTCCTTTTACAGATACGTGTAATGGCTACTCAGGACTTGTCCTGAGTAGAAGCAGACAGAGGAAAGGCTGCAAGGACAAAGTCCGAAGCAGAATAGGTCCGGAGGACCATGGGAAAGTTCCGGACGAACTTCTGGAACTTCAGATGAGTGGAGGAGCGGAGGAGCAGAGAAGCGGAGCTCTGGCCTAGGGAGAAACTCCCTAGGCCTGAGATAGATATCAACTAAGTTGGAAGACTAGAACTGATATGAGGACTTAGAGTGAAGACTAGTGCGAGGACTAATATGATATTCAGACTGAGGTACTACAAGACATATACACGAGTTTATATACTAAGAGAAATAATGGAAGGATCAATAAGCAGAGTCCGAGGCTATGTATGAAGCATATGCAAAGGTTAACAAATGCGAGTCGGAAATGAACATAGGTTAATGGATCAGTAAGCATACCGGTAATAGATATAACCGAGGTACCGGGAACAAGGAATACCGGATAGGCTGTGTTAACATTATATGCACAGGAAATGAATCAAGAAGCTTATCGTATATCGGATAGGAAATGTATCTATACGTCGGATAGGATTGGATCGGACCGGATCGGATGTGGTCCGGATGAGATGCGTGGATATGCAAGATATAATATTAGGGCAATGGGACAAGGGTGAACGATGCAGGCTAGCTGCGAAGGTAAAGGGATCTGGATGTGGATGTGCGGAGGTGCAGGGATCCGGATGGATAGAGGACTGCAGACATGGATAGGATATCCGAAGGTCCGGATGAGGCGTGGGAATATTATCAGATGTAGGTCCGGAATACGGGATATGACATGTACAGTGAGGACATCTGGGTTCTTGGAATTCTGCCCCATTTGTGCCTTTCACCCAATGCACATCAACATGACATAATCCATTTTTATAATATATTTTGTCATATGTATAATATAATAATATACTAATATTTTCTACATCTTGTAAGGACAAGGCAATTTCGAAATTGGTGTGACTGTCTGTGAGCTTTGGAAGAGTGAGGGAGGGATGTACTTAAGGAAAAGGCTCAAGGATTGTGCAAAAATGGAGTCGGGGACTCGGTGTGTAGGTGCCATTACAATATAATATAATACATGTACTTGGCTCAGCTGCCGGTGACCACACTGGCACATGCACATTGCAAGCAGTCACCATGGACAACCTGAACCAGCTTCTGCAGCTCTTGCAGTGTGCTGACCCATCTGGGCTGAAGATTTCACTGGCTGCTATTTTCTGCTTCATCAGTCTAGCAACTAGTCTCAAGAATGATATCCTTTTGGTGCAGCTCAGAGACCAGGACATCAGTAAACCACCTGCTAATCTCTCACCAAGTCTTTCGTGTTTCCTCTCTGCTATAGTGCTGCCACGGTCTGGTTCAGAACCATGGTTTGAACTGGACTTTTGGTCCAGTTCTGGATGGTTCAGTCCACGGTTCTGGTGTCAGCCTGAACCAAACTGGAAATTGGTTCTTGGTTCTAGGTCCTGCTGAACCGTTCCGAACCCTTCTCAACTCTGACTTTGATGCCACTTACTTTAACGTTGACTGAGCTTTGGGATTTGCACTCTACTCTTCTGCCTTTAGCCTTTTTGAAGGTACATACTAAGTAATCAAAATTTTGATTCTCTCACACACTGACATTTGTTTAAATATGTCACAGATATATGTTTCCTTGATCACCCACGCACTCAGATCCATCTCTCCTCGTACACTTCCTTTCCCTTGCAGTACTTTCTCTGGATCCACACCATGTGTTGATCAAAGAGGGCAGTTTATCATGAGTGCTGAACCAGTATACTCAAAGTTGCATTTATCCACTCATGACTACAGGTTCAAGCAGGTCATCACTTTCAACATGGACAAGTATGTTGGCATTCCTCGTGACCACCCAGAATCCTACCATACATTCATGTTCTCTCATAGTCCATCTAGTCCAGTCACCCTTGCTGAAGAATCCTATACTAATTTTATAAACACAGTCGATATTCCCCTCTCCCAAGTCAATTTACGGGAACACCAAAGACTTGGTCGTGGAATGCAACACATACGAGTCTTGCATCAAGGAGCCTAGTATGTCTCATTTCTGCACCTCCTGTTGTCCCTTTCCTTGTGGCTTCTCTGCTGTATGATTGTTCTGTCTTCTTGACACGTCCACTGATTTGGATAATGCTCGTTCCTATCAAAGGCCCCTCCCTCGCATCCTGGACTCACATCAAGACACTTGCTTTTGACACCATTGGATCGAACCTCCTACCATCAAGTTCAGTGCCCTCTCGCTACCTTCAGCATCCTCCCACTACCTCTCTGACTCAGGGACTGGTGCTCAATCTTATGCTGCTGCTCGCCGCCATCCTCGACCCATGCCCATGATCGCCATCCCTTCGCTGCCAACTACTCGTTATCGTAACTGCTCTCCTGATACCTCTATTGCACATGGTAATTGGGGAGGAGCAGCCATGTTGTTAGATTAGTTACTCAACATGCATGTAGACTACTTAGTACTTTGTCAATGTTTTTTGCGTGCTCTTACAATTTGTTTTTTTTTTGTTCGGTTTAGGTTCGGACCCCAAAAAAACCAAACCGGACCATAGAGAACAGTTCTCTATGGTCTGGTTCTGGGTTCAGATATTTTGTAGAACTGAACCGATGGTCCGGTTCTTGGTTCTCACCTAGGACCCTCTGAACCGGACCACAGCAGCACTACTCTGCTAGCTGTGATATATCCATAGATGACAACACCTAAAAAAATTTATTATGTGGTGACATATGCTGAGGTCCTTGAGATCATCCTTGGGAAACTGAGCACACATTGTCTCGCATTCATTCAGAAGCACCATTCGATGACCAGCTGCAAGCTGAAACACAGGCATTTTTGTTTTACCTATGGTAGACAGCAATTGCCTTACTTACATGTGAGCAAAGAGATACCTGTGCCATCCTGTACATGAAGTACCACCACTACCTTATGTGCCTCCCCATACCTTGAAAGCTTTCATGTAGTGCATTGGCATGACAGGATATGCAGTAATGTCATTCTTCGTATCAGCGCCAGTAGAATGCCTAATGTTGAGGGACAGGCCGCGAGGTGATTGTGTTCACATGGCTTAGAGCTCCATGGTTGAGAGGTGTCACAGTGGTTGAGTTGAGGATAGTTGCCACGCATAAAGTTGTTGACAAGTCAGGCATGACAGAGACACCAACATTGCACACAAAGATATGGGTGTGTCGAGAGTGATGGCATGGCCCTGGATAATATTGCCCCATCTGATCCTTGCTGTGTTATAGTATTGCAGCATGGAGGAGCTGTCCTCGCCAGCAGTCAAGCATAGAGCGGAAGGGATGGAGGCAGTCATCCAGAGCTGGGGATAGGTAAATCCATTCTGGACCTTGAACATCTCAGCCTCATTGCCATCCTATAAAATAACTATCATGAGGAGTGCTCAATTACTATAAATTTGAGTACCTACCTTGGACCAGCCATAGGCATAAATAGTGTTGGCTGCATGCCATGCAAGGTCACGCTGTTCAGCATCTTGTGCTTTCTGCTGCTGAAGGACCAGCTCTTGTTCAGCATATCATTGAGTGGAGACTGGTGGAAGTTGTGACAGATGGCAAGAATTTGCAAGCATATCAACATCTTCAACAGCACAAGCTTTACTCTTCTTGGTGCATGTGACAGGAAGGTTGGATGGTCCAGCAGAGGTTTCTCAACTGGCTGCAGGAGTCACAGATGCTGGTGGAATGGTAGCATAAGGGGTTTCATGGGGTAGGATTGGGGTAGGAGCATGTGTCTCTAGGTCTGGGGTGGGTTGAATTGAATCTGGTGTAGGACTTAGAGTCCTTGTGGCCTTTTAAAGACTATTTTTGCGTTGTTCCATAGGTCCTCGCATTGCGTGCGCTAACGCTAACATGGCATGCATCTTTTCTGCTATCAGCCGAGGGCTGCGGTTCACGTGCGTGTATCGGACTGTACTGGCTTCTCCTCGGCTCCATCGCACATTCTTATCCTGTCCTATCCTTGTCCTCTGCTGGTCAATTGGTGCATATTTCACTTGATTTGGAATAGACTGACTGTATTTCCGATGCTATATCATTTATATCTCTATTAATTTTGTCATGGACCCTTATAACCTACTACCGCTACCTACTCAGCTCCAAATAGCGCTTTGGCATGCTCCAATATATACTTGTACTTAGGGATTTTCATGTATCTTCTTACCTCCCATATAGAATCTATCATCCGCTTGCATGCATTATTGTTCGAATTTAAAATCTAAACTTCACATCAACTGCTGCGCGTGTCTATCTAACGGCTGCATTATCATATCAATCCCTTGTTTTGGTAGCTGCTGCACTACTTACAAGTCTACCATCTCGCCATTTCGCCTTGACACTTTGCAGCACCCATACATTATTCTGCATGGCTGCGCCTTACTGCGCATCAATGTATCTTTGGCCGCTCAACCTCACTTCATGCCGCGTCAACAGCAGCTCGCTCACGCTCACATCACATTGTGCTAATCCTTGCATTTCATCCATTCTCAACCTCCCTTATTATTTTCCTCCAATTTTTACATAGAGGAATTGTTCTCAGTAGCAATCCCCTTGGGCCGAATTATATACTTGCGTCCAGAGGTCTATTTGAGTTTTACCCCATTTCACCCTTCCTTCCCCTTTCACCCCTTCTCATCTAGCTATCATTCCTCGCACACACCAATGACAATGACAACATGATACAATGATTCCAACACACCCCCACAACAACATGTTGTTGCAAACTAACATGAAACAAGTGAAAGTCTGGATTGATGACAATGAAATAGAGGACGGGGAAGACACTTCGTGAAGATATCGACAATGTTATTGTGAGTGGAGAGCCACTTAGGCTTGAATGTTCCAGCCTCGATGTGTGCGCAAATAAAATGGTACCAAAGATCTATATGTTTGGTAAGGATGTGGTTGGCAGCTTCCTCACTCAGAGCTATGGCTCCAGCATTATTGGTGTAGAGGCAAAGGGGCAAAGTGAGCAGGAGCTTCAAGCACTCAAAGAATGAGATGAGCCACAAGCCGTCCTGAATGGCAGCTGTTAACACCATATACTCAGCTTTGGTGGAGGAGAGGGCATGGGTAAGTTGCTTTTTGAATGAATGAGAAACAGGGCCCCCATTAAAGAACCATACATATCCAGATATGGATATATGGTCCTCGGGGCAGCTGGCCCAATCTGAATTGCTAAAGCCATGGAGCTCTGAGTTGACTGACACACCCCCATAATGTGTATGAAGGGAGATGGTGCCAGCTAGGAAACATAGTACGTGTTTGGCAGCTGCATAGTGGCATGCTTTGAGGGAGCAGTTGTATTGTGCGAGTTTCATGACGGCAACCGCGATATCGGGATGTGTGTACATGGCTAGATACAGTAACTCACCGATGAGTTTGCAGAACTCAGAGGTCAGATTCTCAATATGAGGGTGAATGTTGGTGTCATGTCAGAATGGGAAGTGAGCATTGTTAGAGTTAGCGCATAATGGAGATGAAGGTACGAGCACAGGAGAGAAAGCTTAGTAATATGTACGAAGTATGAATAATGTAGGAAACAACTAATAACCAGAATTATCCAAGACGGACACGATTTGTCATTGTCAACACAGACCATGGACAAGTCCACACTTACACATACACAGTGTAAGACCAATGGTCTTTTCAGCTGTCATATCCCGTATTCCGGACCTACATCCGATAATATTCCCATGCCTCATCTGGACCTTCGGATGTCCTATCCATGTCTCCAGTACCCATCCGGATCCCTGCACCTCTGCACATCCACATCCGCATGTCCATGTCCGGATCCCTTATCCTTCGCAGCTAGCCTGCATCATCCATCCTTGTCCCATCGCCCTAATGCCACATCCTATATATCCACGCATCTCATCCGGACCATATCCGATCCGGTCTGATCTGATGTATAGATCTGCTTCCGATCCGATATAGATAAGCTTCCTAATTCATTTCCTGTTCTTATAATGTTATACACAGCCTATTCGGTATTTCCTCTATTCCACTGTGTCGGTTATATCTATTACTGGTATGCTTACTGATCCATTAACCTATGTTCATTTCCGACTCGCATTTGTCAACCTTTGCATATGCTTCATACATAGCCTCGGACTCTGCTTATTGATCCTTCCATTATTTCTCTTAGTATATAAACTCGTGTATATGTCTTGTAGTACCTCAGTCTGAATATCATATTAGTCCTTGCACTAGTCTTCACTCTAAGTCCTCATATCAGTTCTAGTCTTCCAACTTAGTTGTTATCCATCTCAGGCCTAGGGAGTTTCTCCCTAGGCCAAAGCTCTGCTTATCCGATACTCCGCTCATCCGCTCATCCGATCCTCCGTAGTTTCCAGAAGTTCATCCGGATCTTTCCTGCGGTCCTCCGGACCTATTCTGCTTCAGACTTTGTCCTTGCAGCCTTTCCTCTGTTTACTTCTACTCAGGACAAGTCCCGAGTAGCCATTATACATATCCATATCAGGATGAAACCTCATCGTAATTTCTGGAAGTTCCTCCGGAACTTTCCCGCTGTAGAAACTACAATACAATGAGGAACAAAAGAAGCTCCTGACTGTATCTGTAAAAGTTGTAAGGTCACGCGCTGCCTAGTCTGCGTTACTTGAGAAGCAAGTGCGTTCGACCCTATAGGGGAAGTGAGTGCAGCAAGGATCTAGAAGTGTGCGCTTAAGCGAAGCGCGAGAAAGTGCAGGAGCGCGCAAGGTACAAAGGCGCGGGAACACGCGCGCGTATTTAGCGCGAAGCGTGGGAAAGTGCGCGCGCGTATGCGGAAATGAGAAACTAAGCTTAAGTAGTGATATAAAGCAAGATAAGAGATATAAGAGTGCAAAATGTAAAGGAATAGCTTTCTACTATATTCTGCTAAGTAGTAAGTGGGTAGTAACTAGTAAGTGAAAAGTAGGAAAAGTAAGTTAAGGTGAAAAGTAAGGTGTGAAAGGTAAGTAAGTAATAGTATGTACTGCTGGCGCTTATATAGCGCGCCTAAGCGCGGTCATGCGGAGCCGAAGCGCTACCGAGTAGGTATGTAAAGATATATATAAGTGAGAATTCATGATAAAAATAAAGGTGGAATGATATGCTAATAAAAGAAATGGAAATATACGCACTAGAGGGCTTGGTGGACAGTGGATGGATGCTTCTGGATGGCTGGCGCTATAGGGCGCGCAAGCGCGGGAAAGCTGCGCCTCATATAGGAATTAGCTGCGGGTAGCGCACAGAGTAATGCTATGAGTTCGTGCTGTATACTCCTTGGTGAAAACTACCATATCACGCCATGAGAGGCATGATTCTCTACACCGCACTCATCTGGAAGTTACTTGCACCCGTCCGGAAAGTCCTTCCGAAGTTTCCCATGCCTTCAGATGTCCTTCGGACGTCTTTGGACTTTCCTTGGACACCAATCTGAAATTAAGGGCACGTACTTGGGTAAGGGGCGCAGCACACGAGCTGAAGCCAAGCCCCTCAGAATCAGTCCTACCCTTTGTGCATGGTCTTAACATCAGCCTTGTATAGGCCATATTTGCCATTTCTCAGACTCTATTACATCCTACATTGCTTTTGACATAGTGCACGGTATTTTATTGTCAGCTGATGGTCAAGGGTCATCAGCTCGCATTGGCCTTTCTTCAGATCCTTCGCGCATCCTCTGTCCATCCTATCCATATCCTCCGTTGATTCATTGGTGTATACCATACTCAATTAGTATTAGACTGACTTTATTTCTGAAGTTATTTCATTTATATTCTCATTACATGTGTCACTGACCCTACTTACATACTTATTGTTATCTACTCGGTCCTGAACAGTGCTTAGGTGCACATACATATATATCCCATATTTATGAAGTTCATGTATCTTGTTTCCCCACTGGAAATCTATCACTACTCTGCACACAAAAACAAAACATCTGCACTTGCATTCAGTAAAATTCCGGCTTATCTTGGTGCATGTCTTTCTGTTGGCTACCTTACTTGAATATATCAACACTTTCGCGTGTCTGTCAGCTTTCACGCTTTCTATACATTGGCTCGGTCTCACACTCTAAGTATGCAAATGTACCTTCACCCGCACATTCCTACATCACCTCATACGTACAGTGCATCGTACCGCGTCGGCTTGTATCGCTTTGCATTGCATCGGCTCACATTGGCTCACCCTCAGCTTTCGCGTTTTCTTGCTTCTCAACTTTACTTACTAGTTTCCCAAGTTCCCCTCAGCATATTTTACTTAGAGGAATCATTCTCAGTAGCAATCCCCTCATGCTGATACTATACTCATGTCCAGAGGTCTATTTGAGTTTTACCCCACTTCACCCTTTCTTTCACTTTCACCCCTTCTCATCTAGCTACCATTCCTCGCACACAACAGACTGGGTACATACATTTAGCGAACCTTAGTATATATACTGTAGTGTTATTAGAATAAAATGGAGTCCAAATATTATATTCAATCCTATCCTAAAGTCTAGATACTTCTACAAGTGTCCATAGGGGAGAAACTGAATTGCAACCAACTAAGCCATGTTCTTTGAAAAGGTACGAGATATAATCGGTTTGATGCATCTAAAGCTCGCAGGACGTACAATTTTGTTCAAATTGAATCCCAAGATGTTTTGACACCGGACCGAGATCAGTTATGCCAAAATGTTTTGCAATCTGCCCCTTTATACTAATGAGGAAAGGGCGGTTGCTGGCAGCTGCAAGGCCATCATCAACATGCCAGGCAATGATGCAAATGATGCGCTCACCCTCACCATTGATGTGGTCGTACACAGAGATGACATAATCAGCTTCTATGCAGAGGAAACTGAGATGCATAAGAACTTCATGCAGAAGTTCATACCAATCATACACTGCTTGTTTGAGACCATATAGCAAAGAAAGGAGGTGGCAGATGAGGGCACTGATATCAGGTGCAAAACATTCAAATCCCAGTGGTTGGCACATGTACACATCCTCTGTGAGTTTCCCTCAGAGGAATACACACTTTATGTTGTTGTCATCAGCAAGGGGATGAGATGGTGCTGGCAGTAGAGCAGGACGAGGAACAATAGGGATTGGAGGTACATGTGCATCAGGATCGTCTGCAGGAGGAATCCCTTGGAGCAGGCATCCTGAAGATCTCGCTGTCATTGAAGACATGCTGCATCTGCAGCGAGTTGCTCGCCAAACTGTTGTCCATGCTCATTTGGATTCACAATCCTTCCAGAGCAACAAGCAGGAGGCACAGGTGGAGCATTCAGAGGTAAAGCAAGGGGAGGGGTAGCCATGGAACATGGTGCAGCATCTTCCTTGTTGTTGTCATCACTGTTGACATTAGAAAAGGGTCTAAGGCCGATGATGATGATG